TATGCATAAATATATATACATATCCATAGAAATATACATACACATTGATATACATACACATAAATATATATTCATATATATATATATATATATATATATATATATATATATATATATATATATACATAATTATGCATATATACATGTACATATATACATATACATATACATAGATACACATATATACATTTATTTATGTACATATATATGCATACATATACATATATACATGTCTTACAACACACACATACACACACACACACACACACACACACACACATATATATATATATATATATATATATATATATATATATATATATATATATACATATATATATATATATATATATATATATATATATATATATATATATATATATATAAATATATGCATAAATATATCTATATATACATATATTCATATATTTATATGTATATGCATATATACATTTATTTATATACATATATATTTATATTTATTCATATGCACTTGTATATGTATATTGATACCGTTCCCGTACAGAATAGTACGATGTCCAGGTGCGCTATATAAGTTGCAAGATATCAATGTCAGATTTCCACTACTGTTAATGTGAGTGTTTATAAAGATGAATAACATATATATATGTGCGTGTGTATATGTGTATACATGTATGTGTATATATATATATATATATATATATATATATATATATATATATATATATATGTATATATAAATAGATAGATAGATAGATATGAATGCATATATGTAAATGAATATTATGTATATATGACTATATAAATTAATATAGACCTATCTTGATGTAAGATAACTCCTACATGACGCGGCCTCACGAACATGGCCGGCTCCAACAGTTCCTCCGCACCGATGCTTGCACGTGCTGCCCCCGCCGACATAGGTGTCTTGGGAAAAGAACTATAAGTGCAGGGGGAAGCATATTAAAGCGAGAGTCATTATGAAAAACTTTACATACCTTAACTAGGAAAATGTATAAATTTATCGTACGACAAAATAAGAAGAATAGAGAGTATGGTAACCACTTTTTACTTATTATTGTACATCTACGATTTTTATGAGACCGATTTGCTCTTTGACATTTATTCTTTAATTGACCTATGTGGTCTTTCCAATTTAGTCTATGGTCAAAAAGTAGAGCAAGAAATTTAGCAGTATTTTGAATTGGTATTGGGTAATTGTCTAGAGATCTAGATCTAGAGATCCTATAAGAAAAAAAATCCCCGATGCTCTTTCTTTTGGGACACTTAAAGTCCCACTGGAGGTCCCCAGTTATGAATCATATCCAGTGCCAGTGGGTGCGATTTGCCGAAAATTCTACATTACTGCTGGAATGCCATAATGCATACTCATCAGTCAATAATGAATATTGAAGATTCTGAGGGGGAGCTGGTAAGAAGTCATTAATCATGCACAAAAATAAAATAGGTGGCAAGACACTTCCTTATGGGAGCCCATTTGCCTGGACAAAAATGTCCGAATAAGTGACATTGTCAGAATATATTTTGACAGCAAAAGTTCTGTCAGAAAAGAAATTTTGAGTGAAACTCACGTGATTTCCACGTGATCCAAAAGCATAAAATTTTCTGAGCAGGCCATATCACCATATCGTAGACTTTTTCTATATGTAAGAATATTGAAATCAATTTTTTTTCTTTCTTTTTGCAAATGCCTCCTGAATATAAGCCGCACTGCCCACTAGTAAGTTTCTAAAATTTGAAAAAATGCAATAGCCTACTGTTAACAATTCGTTTCATGACTTTGCATATGCAACTTGCTTATGCAACTGGGCAGTAAGAAATGGCGGATCCGGGAATTCTCTTCCTTTCAATATGGAAATGATGTGGGCAAAGTGCCATGAGTTTGGAAAAGTCTTGTTCTTCCAATTCTCATTGTCTTGTTCTGTCAATGCTTAACGCTATCTGCCGAAGTCTTAGGAATGGATATCATTGCTGCATCTAATATATAATTCTGAACATTATTTACTCTACATTCTATGGTTTCTCCAACAAGTTAGAGCTTGGCACTGTAAAGGCGACCCAGTCTGCTCTGTTTACATTAGATTTAGATGCTGCAGGTGTTGATGTTGTGACGCATGAATATTATCGCTTCCTAAGGAATTGTTAATGGAGTACCACAGGTACTTGGTCAAGATAGGTCAAGAAAGCTCAAATTACCGGTACTATCGTCCACCCGCGTCGGACTATCATCGTTCAAAAGAACCAAATCAGAAACATTAATTAATTTAACTATTTAACTATCAAGAGGAAGACCAGAAGCCAGACGAGGTCCTAGAAGGGGTCGCCTGAATGAGGTGAGGTCTGGGTTGTGATTCGGTATCATCCTTATGATTTTGCTTTTGCTGTGTTGATTCAGCAATTTCCTTTACTGTTTTACTTAATACTTTCATGTGATCCATCAAATCCTTTACCGTTTCCTTCAGTTCAGCAATTTCCCTATCGTTTGTTGCCATCCATTGACTGTTACTATGCTTCAGCATAGTAAGTTCTGGCTTTGCTTGTCAAGCCTTCAACTTTCCTCTTAGCTTCACGGCAACTAACTTCACGTTCCCACATGTTTGCCAATATCTCGGTTTCCTTCTTCAGACTGCTGCATTCAGCAGAACTTGACCGATGGGAACCTCCACAGTTAGCACACTTAAAGTGTGGCTTCAGTGCATGTAGTCGTATCATATACCATAAGTGAATATGTCAGTGTCCGAATTTTTGGCATCTGTTACAGTGGAGGGATGTTGATCACTTTTCGCACTTGTCGTTCATTAGTTGGTTCTCTTTTTGTAGTCAGATTGGTTATAGGCGGGTCGTGGATATCCTTCCTCCCTCCTTGAGGAGGAGGGGTATCCAAAGTGTCGGCCATACTGGGTGTCAGGCCAGGTCAGAACCCTGGGCTAAACCCGTTGTCCTGAAGGGACTTACAGTCCCTTAACTATTGTTTCAACCCAACTTCCAATAGCAAAGCGAAGAGACAGTGATTTTGTTAATCTTCTTCCCCCCTTAGTGGAAGCCTGGTTGTGTTCTCCAGCACCAGTTAAGAGATTGGAGATGTATGTAAAACACCTCCTTACCACCTAATGCAAGGACGGTAATTCAGCACCCACTTCCCAAGCAAATAAAAGAGCTCTCAAGGATTCCCCTGTAGGCTTAGGAAAGTCATACCAAGATAAGAAGAATCTTAGGGCGTCTTCTGTCATAAAAGTTAATCCAGTATTAAAATTTAAGCCAGATCTCTTAAGCCCATGCAGAATAGCAGCATCCAGGATTAAATCTATTTCACTTCCGGACCAGGCTTTACTTTTGAGCTCAAAGATTAACCATGCACATGCACAGAACGAGCTACTTAACCCAATGGTGCTGGGGAAAATGAACAAAAAATGGGGAAAATATTGTGCCCACTTTCTATGTTTTTCGTGTAATGTCTGCCGATAGATGGCTCTGCTAGCGCCTGATTTAAATGGCGGGAAAAACGTATTTTTCACTAATGCTATGAAAATCGATGGTGTTATTTTTATCATAAACATTATAATTTTTATCATTTTTTTTAACATTAGTAACAGCAAAATAAGATTACATTAAATATTTTGTAAACCAAAGAAACGGGTAAACGGGCGAGACGGGCGGTGTTCGTAACAGGCTCATTGGGGAGTTAGTACAAGTGTTGCCATCTATGCGTAAAAACAATCAAACAAGTACTCACGGTGGGCATAGCACGTACGTACACGTCATACCCGGCACCAAGGGGTTAATCCCACCAATCATGTATTACAGACGTTTACAGACATTTACAGATGCAAAAAGGCAATGTTATTTCCAGATTAGAAAATAATTATGCAATATATTAATAAAGAAAGAAAGCTTTTAATAACATGATTAGACTTCAAATTCAAAGTAAAACTTCCTGATTCTCTAAACTAAAGTCTCATGGAGATCATGATCCTCGCTAGCAACACCCTGAAAAATACCCTATTCGTGCCCCGCAATGACAGGTGAGAAAGAGCTCTTGGCGATGATAATTATAGGCTATTTGAAGCCATTTATATAATTTTATATGTACTGATATATATAGATCAGCATGATGTAATACTAGTGTATTTTTTTTCCTCTGTAGCAAATGTTTCATTATCAACATTAGTGTATGATATTGTAGAGGGTGAATGGTAGTTGCCATTACACAGATACCCGCTTTTTCATGTAAAACAAGATTTACTGATATTCACATTGATTTGTACGCCTGGCATTGTGTCATGCATCTTCTGTGGATTTAGATTAACTTTAATTTGGAATTAACCTTTATGACGCGTACAGAAGACACCTATAGAGAGAGAATTCTGGGCCTCTCTACTCAGGGGCTGAAGCCCGCAAGGGCTACCCTGAGGTAGAAGAGTGCTGTGGGTCTAGGGTGGGGTGCTGCCCACAACTACTGTAGCTTCGTGTCACCTTTTGCAAGTAAAGGCACTAAAGGTGTGGCAAAGAAATTTCTCTTAAAACGGATAAATTAAAACTTTACGTTAACGCAGAAACAACGTCGAGTGAGACGTGAGACCACGGGACTCCAGGGTGTCTCAGGTGACAGAAGACAATGTTTTTTTGTTGCTGCATTTTTTTCAGTGCGGTCTGACGACACAAGTAGCTGGCTTTCACTGGGTTTCCGGCTGCTTATGTCCTCCCCAGCATGAAAAATGCAGCCTTGATCCTCTCTGTGGAGCATGTTGGCACTGCTCTCTCTAGGCGTTTCCCCCTCATCAAGAGGATTATCTCGTTTACTACAGGATACTTGTAATGGTGATGGCGTGATCCGCGGGATCAGCAAAATCACTTCATTCTACAATTCCATTACTATATGGATATCCGACAGTTGCCACCATACTGTAAAAAGCTATAGGCACTCTAATACAATGCCTGGTTAAACAATGATAGTAGTTAAACAGCTTGACTCTGTATTTAGGTATGACTCATCTGCTTAGACATAGGGAGGGAGTATGATAGAGTGGAAGGGGGAGGAAGAGAGAGAGGAATCAACATCTATAGCTGCAAAATCTAATGAACGAAATTTGCAGGTGTATCATGTGGCAGAATGGCTCGTTGCAGGGAAGAGTGATTATTAAAAAGGTCTACTTTTGGTAGTGTCTAAAAACTTCTTCGGGTTAGTAGTTACGTTAACGGGTGTTAGCATAGCGTGTATGGTGGGGGCTTGGGCCACATAGGAAGGGTTCAATGGTTGCCTGGTACAAGGGCTATATAAGTAAGATCTCTTCAAACACATACTTATATAGACCTTGGCCTGGCAAGGATGATCGGACTTTCACCCTTTGTGTTGGAATAGTATATCATACATGACATATCCACTGTGATTTTAGTTTAGTAATCACTGTTACACATAGGTGGCTTTACAAATACGTAGTCACCAAGGAGTTAGTTAATTGGCATGCACATCTCACCTGCTTACTATTTTTATTTTTGGAAAGATTTTTTAAAATCATCTTCATAAAATTATTATAATGACAATGATTATAATAAAAGTATTGGCTATTATAATAATTGATTTCCGGAAAAAATCATGGAATGGGCAGATCAGGTGAAATTACTTCGGTCTCCTAAATGCTCCTGTGGAGCCATTTGTATGCAACAAAATTCACAGTGGACAGTACATACTAGGGTTTCCTTCCCGGGATCCCGAGATCCCGGGATCCCGGGATCCCGGCCATAAATGGGCTTTTTTTCCTTCCCGGGAAATATGTGAAATCCCGGGAAATCCCGGGAAACTTCTTTTTATTATTTTTTTCTTATGTCAGCTAAAAAATACGAAAATGTATGAGAGAGAGAGAGAGAGAGAGAGAGAGAGAGAGAGAGAGAGAGAGAGAGAGAGAGAGAGAGAGAGAGAGAGAGAGAGAGAGAGAGAGAGAGATGCCTGTGCTGGAAGCGAGACAGCGATGAGCTGAATCAGCTGACGAGCGACGACACGTACCGTAACGGTACGTGTCGTCGCTCAGTGATCGTAGTATTGACTGTTTGTGCTTTTTGAAGAGTTATTTCAAAAATAATTCTTAGGGTGTATGACTGCATTTGCAGCTGTGATTTTTTTTTTTTTTTTTTTTTTTAATCTACAGGCCATTCTATACTCTAGCATTGGGTGTTTAAAGTCCCACTTCCCTCTTTTCGTTTACCATGTCTGGAAAGTTGGGCCTAAATTCCAAATATTCTTTTTATGATTTTGTATGTGCATTACGGAATTTTTATTTTCTTCAGCTTTATTCAAATACACTGGGAAAATACCAGATAATATCTACTCTTCTTTAATTTCAGGGCATTTCGGAACTTTCAGTATTTTCATTTATTTATTTATTTATTTATTTATTCACTTTTTAGATTTTGTGGAATATGGTGTTCAAATTATTTTACATATGTTATTGAATATATGCAAAAGTTATTCCATAGTTTCATTTTCTGTGTAGTTTACAGTCTTGTGGAGCAAGATGGCTTGATGGGGGTCAGTGGAGGTGGCCAGGGCTACTGGCCAAGCTTCTATATGGATATGGTAATATGCAAAAATTCATATTCCACGTATCAGGATTTGACGTCTTTTTTTCTTTAGTTTCTTCCCATGTCTTAACTCCCATGTGTGTGGATGACACATTTACTACTTGCAATCACCTCTCTGTTACGGAAAAAATTTACTTACTGTGAATTTCAATTACTGTTCATTTTTAGCAAGGTTATTTTTTCACATATTATTTTTTTATTATATTCCTTTTTGGTCTATTTTCTTATATTTGTTCTTTAGGTCTTGATAATGTATATTTTATATTCTAATCTCAGTTAAATCTCGATCTCGATGACAGACATTAGACACTAAACATCGGCATATTTCCTGTAGCAAAGAAGAGTTGACAATTTACGATTGAATTAATGAGGATGGAGGAATTGAACTACATCTGTGCTCTATATCCTTTATTAATGTCATTAATGAATGTCATGAACATGTGATAACACCATTTATACTTAAGTAGGCTTTTTTTTTCTTTTTCTTTTTTTAATCAAGCACTGGATTGAATCCTAATCCAATGAAGAACTAGTAAGGATATATATATGTGAAAAATTTAAATGCCACCAATATATATATGTAAAATTCTTAAATGGCAACAATATGTATATAGATATATGATTTTTAATTGCCACAAATGACATACAGTGCAATTTTATTTTTTAACTCTCACACTAATTCTGATTTTCTTTTTCCTATAGAACCTAAAATAAAAAAAAAATAAAAAATTATGTGAGTAGCTCGTGGTCTGGATTTAATTTATTCCTCCACTGAGTGCACAAAAGGTTCATCAAAAAAAAATAATAATAATAATAATTGAATAAATAAAAAATAAAAATAATAATATATATATAAATCTATAATATATATCTATAATATATATAAATATATATATAAATATATATATACATATATATACATATATATATAATATATATATATATATGTATAAAATATCTATAATATATCTAAAATATATATATAACATATATATCTATGATTTATATATACATAATATATATACAATATGTATATATACATATATATATATATATTATGTATATAATCTATATATAATGCACACATACATAATTATATATATATATATATATATATATATATATATATATATATATATATATATATATATATATATATATATATATATATATATACATAATTATATATGTATAATGTACATATACATAATTATACATATATATGCATATATACTTTTTAATTCATGTAGATATATTCATATATGTATATATATATAACTCGTGTGTCCTTAATTGTCCTCTTCCCCACCAAAGGTCTCCTTGACTTTCTCATGAGCCATTTTCACTCCGGCTGCTACGGCGCTGCCAAATGAAGCCAGACCGACATTGCCAGCAACTCCTACTCCTGCAGCTGCCACACTCTGCATTGCTGCTACCTGTGAATCAGAAGCGTCAAACAGTAGAAGTTCTGTTTGTAATTTTTCATGTTTTATTTATTTTATTATTGTTTTTTAATTGGTATCAAGGTCCTGGAATCCAGTACACCACTGCACTTTCATAATTTTTTTTTTTTTTTTTACTATTACCATATATATATATATTTCTTTTTTTTACGTTATGAAACATCAGGTAAATCATGACATTACGGCACTGCCAGCAGCTACAGCCCCGCCATTGGCAGCGGCTGCGGCCGACATCATGGAAGCCGCCCAGGAACCACCTACGATTCCAGCGCTGGTGAATCCTAAAACTGGGGAGAAATGGATTTACTGTAAAGTGTGATCCTTCAGCATCTTAGGAAAATTATATGACCTCATGTTCAATAGAAGATTCATAGTATTCCGTACCGTTTAGACGAGAAATTTGACTGCGGGAGTAATTGGGAAGTGGATAGGAGTGTAAGAGATGCCCTGAAAGCAGGAGGAAAGGGCGGAGGGCTGAAGTAATGGAAAGTGGACAGAACAAAAAAGACGAACTGAAAGAAAGAGAGAGAGAGAGAGGAAACTACATCAAGAATTTCTTACATGGTAATGCAAGAGGAGCTGCAACGGCGACGGCGGCTCCAGCAGCAGCAGTAGCAAGTAAGCCGGAGTAATCATTTTCACATTCCTTGGGAGTCGGGTGTTCTTTGTTATCCTAGAAGAGACGAATATATATTAATCTCTATCTTTCTCCTATGCCGTAATTGCTTGGACAACGACAGTATGAAGATTCTGAAGATATGTATTACACTATGGCCCTCACCCACGGTAGAAACATCTCGTCTAAGATTTCCGCGTAGGCACACCCCGTTAATCTGCCGGGCCCCACATCCGTCAACTCTCTGGCACTGATTCTGTACATCCACTCAGACTGCACAGTAATTTCCAAGTCTGCTGCTGTTGTTAGCAGAACAAAAGAGGTTTGCATCCCTTGTAGCAGTTATGGATAGTTAAAAAATAATAATGAAAATAAATAATAAATAAAGGAACGTGGCAACAAACCATCGGCAACACCCCCTACTCAAATCCAGTTAGAGGTAATGGGTATTGCTACTGAGTACGAATAGTTTTCATTAGCTCATGATATTCATGCAATTAAATGCAAGTTTCCTATTTTTCTTTCATTTAACACTTTGAATTATGGCTTTGAATAACATTTACTTGATCTTCCTCCGTCGTGTATCTAGGGCTCTGGCCTTGTTTCTGGTGGATCCAGTTGCTTGGTGTCGCTGGATCCACAAACACGATTGGCTTCGAAATACCTAATCTTGATATTTCGTCTCTTGATAGTCCCTCAGAGTAAAGCATGATGCAAATGGTTTATGAGGTATTGTATTGGCATGATACGAGACCCTGACCATATCAACTCCAAAACACTATTCAAACACATTATGAAGCTTCATCAGTTCTGTACTTTGAAAACAAATCCCAACATTTCCAAATCAACTGCCAGAGATATCTGTATGCATATATATACATACAAACATTCGTGTACACATACATATGCACACACACATATACATACATATGCATGCACACACATGTGTGTAAATATATATTATATATCATCATCATTTGGGAGCTAACGCCGGCGGGGGCGCATAGCCGCATTCACCCTTCACTTCCACTTATGACGGTCCCTCATGGCGAGCTGCCAGGGAGGGGCCGGCCCATCTCAAGCTCCTCACGACAGGTTTCATTGATCTGCCCAAGCCACGACTTCCTCGGTCGTCCCACAGGCCTCCTCAACCTAGGGTTGTCTCGAACAGAGACAACCTGGTGGGCAGGGTCATCCTGCCAACTCTACCCCTTGACTCGGCGCAAGGACCTGTTGCAAAAGGCATCTAGATGTGAAAGCATCAAGCACAAGATAGCATCTAGGTTTCACTACCATATAATAAAACGGCAGTATCAGGGCCTTGAAGACACGTAGCTTGGTT